TAAGGACCACTGCATACTGAGTTAGAGCCAGCCCAGAGAGCACGCCCTTGTTGGATCACCCTCTGTAAAGACAGCTTCCTGACTTCCTGTGATGTCCATGAAGGAGTGTGTGAATTAATTCATGAAATGATGAAAAACACCGTAGATTTATTCTTGGGCAAAAAAGAACTCTGTATTCCAGGGCTTGATTACGTGGGGGATTGCATTGTTTATTCCTTTGTGGGATTGGCTGAGGGAGCCAGAGGATATGGGATTGATCACTGCTGTTTTGTTCACCAGCCCATGCACAGTGGAGAGAAAGCACCCCCTCTGCTGACCCAGAAAGAGGAGACTGCTTCCTGCTACAAATGTGGCCACCATTGCAACCCCAGGGAGGCGACCTTCTGCGACTGGTGTAGAACCCTGGTGGGTAGCAAAGAACTATCAGCCTGCAGGAGGCTAGACTTTTCTGTGGTCACTGAGCAGCTGGGGACAGCTAAGACAGATCCTCTTACATTAAGCACTGTGTCTCATTGCCATTTCTACTTGCAATTCTTTGAGGTTAAATTATTGTACTCATTTATTGACCATTGGCCTTTCTTCATGAATCATGTTTGCTACCTTTTAAACAAAACATGGAAATTTATTTATGTGTATGTAAGTCTGAGTCCCTTCCAAAAGAGGGTTATACCACCTTCTCCAGCCCCACTGTTCCATTCCCTGAAAGGAATGCCTACCCCCCAGCTTCCGAGTGTGTTAGTGCACATGACAGCTACTAGTGCATTTATGCATGAGCTGATGGATGTCTTTTCATCCAGCAACATGTCTTTGTTAGAGGTCTCTTCATCCTTTCCAATCACTTCCCAATATCCCATGCTTATGTCTATACACTGTGATCCCCATAAGCTACCCATCCCCTATTACTGGACACATAGGTTATTTCCAGTTATTGTCTCTAAGACTCCACTGCTCCTAGAGATGCCCTAGAATGCTTCTTTGAGTACTTGTCCACACATGAGATGAATTCTAGAAGGTGACACTGCTGGATCAAAGGGTTTGGGCATATGTTATTTTGGTGGCTGTAGCTTGTATTGTATTCAAAGACTTTTATGTGCAAATTATAGCTAATGTAAAAATGTCCTCTGTCCTGTAGCTTGGCCTGTCTCCCAGCCACTCTGTCTGCCTGAAATGTGGGGCCAGCAATCACCCGTCCGCTCGGTTCTGTACGACCTGTGGCGTCCATGTGAACTCCATGGCGAGATGGAGCCTGAACGGCAGCCTGGCTGCCCTCATGGGGGAGCCACACCCTGCTTCCCAGGTGAGACCTGCACCATGGTCAGAACCAGTGCCAAGGGAGGGCGTCGCTGTGAACATGTGCCCACGGCCCTGTCACTCAGCCC